TGACCTTCTCTGAAAATTCGATTCTGTAGGTTTCCGAAACAAGAAAAAATGTTGTTTTTTCGATTAATCTCATATGGGTTTTAATCGCTTAACGCTAATTTTAGGAGAAAGTTGTATGTGAGTAGTTTAATCGTCTCTCTTGATCATAGTCGGGTTTATGCAGCTGAAACTTTTACATGATTTGGGGTTTTAAAAGTTTATGCTTTTAATGTTTTGATTCAACCCTTTTGTTAGGTTTATGAATGTTCGTTCTGGGTTTACTCGAGTTAGTTTATATAAGCCAAAAACTTGGTTAGTTTTTAGTTTACTGATAGTTGCTCTTCGTTTTGATCTTTTAGGTTGTGTTTGATTTTATCATAGTGTAATGTGTAGTTGTCTTTGATTCTTAGATCTACTAATCATTCTCATTGTGTTAAAATAACGGAATGTTTTGAGATTATTGTTCTGTTTGGTAAATAAAGGCTATCAAGCAATCTATTGAGTGGCTTTAGAAATGTGTCGTTGTATCGGATTTTGTTGGTTCTAGTTTGGGAGAGTCTTAATTTGTTAACCTGTGTACATCTATTTTGCTTTAAGAATAAACAGTCTTATATCTAGTGTTATGTGTATCTTAACCGCAGATTGGGACTAAGCAATGGCGTTACTATGACTACGGTCCAAAGACTGTTCCTCCTCTCATATGTATTCCTGGAATCGCAGGAACTGCAGATGTTTACTATAAACAGATTATGTCACTGTCTATGAAGGTATTTCATTGCATAATCTTTGAAAGTTTATCCGCAGTCTTTTTCTCCTATCACATGTAGCTGTAAACACTTGTTAGGATATGATAACTAAGATGCTTATGTGTTGCTGTCTCCTTGGATACTGATTGTATATCTCCGAATATTAAACTTGTTTTCTTGAATGTGGTTAAATTTGCGATTCCAGGGTTATCGGGTAATTTCAGTTGACATTCCACGGGTTTGGAATTATCATGAGTGGATTCAAGCATTTGAGAAATTCTTGGACACCATTGATGTGCATCACGTAAGATCTCTTGAAGTTAGAAATCACTATCTAAATCTCTATTTTGTTTTATTGCTGCGGAAAGATTTATGCATTGCAAGTGATTGTACTTGACCATTGTTAACAGGTGCATCTCTACGGTACTTCCCTTGGAGGCTTCTTAGCACAACTATTTGCTCATCACCGTCCAAGACGGGTTAAATCATTGGTTCTATCAAATACATATTTGGATACTAGAACTTTTGCTGCTGCAATGCCATGGGCTCCCTTGTATGTTTCTCTTATAAAACTGTTCCTTCTTTATCATTTTTAGCATGTGCCTAAGAATTTGTACTGACTCTCAATGCTTTTTCGGGATGAACTGTGCAGTGTTAGTTGGACTCCTTCTTTTTTGCTGAAACGATACGTCTTAACAGGAATACGTGATGGACCTCATGAACCCTTTATTGCTGACTCCGTCGACTTTGCTGTTTCTCAGGTGATTTCCCAGATAATTATCTCCACAGTATTTTCTTGAACGAATCTAAATAATACATGAAAAAGGCTTTTCAGATGATCTTACCGTCCCGGTTCCTTTGGTTTGCTCTGGTTTAGGTTGAGACATTGTCAAAAGATGATTTGGCTTCCCGATTAACTTTAACAGTGGATGCTGCCTCCGTGGGATCTCTACTACTCTCTGATTCATCCATCACGATAATGGATGTATGTTTTGACTAACTTCATCTTAGTTGCTAATTAGTTTTTATCGTCTAACGATAAATGTTTTGTCCTCTCAATCAGACGAATGATTACTGCGCAATTCCGCAACATCTTAAAGATGAACTTACAGAGAGGTATCCCGAAGCAAGAAGAGCTTCCTTAAAGAGTGGAGGAGATTTCCCATTCCTATCACGGCCTGACGAAGTCAATTTACATCTACAGGTATATATAAATTCAGCATCCACAATCCTAATTTAATGCTTTTTAGGTTCTTTTCAAGAAACAATGATCTTGCATATAAACTTCAAACTTCTATACCTATTGTTTAGCTGCACTTAAGGCGGGTAGGAGTAGAACCACAGCCCGAAGTAGTTAAAACTATTTCAAGAGACGGCGCAGATGGCACAGACAAAAGTAGCCAGAGCGAAAAGAAGAGCGATGAGGAGAAGAAAGACCATAGTAGCAACAATATGCATCAAGGTTCTGGAAGCTCGTCTCCAGATCAATCACCGACGTTTCCAGAGAGTTCCGGAAGTTCCAATGACCCGCCTTTACCAACGGACACTATTCAGCTGCAGAGTTCATCAATTGACAACCTCATATTTGTGCATCAACTCGCCGGTGAAGTTTATCAGTCTTGTCTGCTTTTCACGTTGTGTTACTGTACATTGGTTTTGGTTCACGGTGGTTTCATCTCCAGACAATCGGTTTAGTCTTCTTTATTATTTTATTTTGTTTGTTAAAATTTGGGTTTCTTGATCTGTTTTGGGTTTTCTCTTGCCTTTTGTGTAAAAGTTGTTTAGCAAGAAGCTCTCTCTCCTTGTATGTTTCAAGTTATTACACTTTTGGAAGAAAACTTTCGTTGGGTTTGTGATTAAACCAAATTTGATTTTTTTCAGTAATTTTTCTGTTCCTTATTAAAGTTAAGGAAGAAATTGTAACATTTGCAAAATTTAGGGTTATTTGTTCTATTTCAAATTTCTTTCGTTTTCTTCTTCTCTCAACAAATCTGGAACCGAATTGAACAAATCGGATTCGGGTACGGGTTTGGTTTGTAAACCGGGTTTTCGCCGTCGATTTGAAGATTCCGATGATGTTTCCGAGACTCCTGCAAACAATCTGGAGACCAAAATCTCTAAACACGGCTCTCAATTCAATCAAATGTTTTAGCTCGATAAACCCTAAACGAGTAGGGGTTTTCTGGGATCTAGACAACAAACCACCGGCTTCATTCCCGCCGTACGATGCCGCCGTCAAGCTCCGAGCAGCCGCGTCATCTTTCGGATTCGTGAAACTGATGGTGGCTTATGCGAACCGTCACGCCTTCAGCTACGTTCCTTTAGAGGTTCGAGAAGAGAGGAAAGAGAGGAAATTGCTTAACCAATTGGAGAACAAGGGTTTAGTTCGATCGCCGGAGCCTTACTTCTGCGGCGTTTGTGATCGGAGATTCTACACTAACGAGAAGCTAATCAATCATTTCAAGCAGATTCACGAAACGGAGAATCAGAAACGTATGAGACAGATTGAATCTTCTAAAGGACATCAAAGAGTGAGGCTTGTTGCTAAGTACTCGATGAAGATCGAGAAGTATAAAAGAGCGGCGAGGAATGTTTTGACACCGAAAGAAGGTTATGGATTAGCTGATGAGCTTAAACGAGCTGGGTTTTGGGTGAAAATGGTGAGTGATAAACCAGAAGCTGCAGATAGAGCTTTGAAGGAACATATAGTGGATGTTATGGATAAGAGACAAGTGGAATGTGTTGTTCTTGTGTCGGATGATTCTGGTTTTGCAGAGATTCTGTGGGAAGCTAAAGAGAGGTGTTTGAGGACTGTTGTGATTGGGGATTTGAACGAAGGAGCGTTGAAGAGGGTAGCTGATGTTGGGTATTCATGGAAAGAAGTTGTGATGGGGAAGGCGAAGAAGGAGGTCGAAAAAGTTGTGGGGAAATGGAAGGATAGAGATGTGTTGAAAAAGTTGGAATGGACTTATGATCCTGCTTTAGAGAAGGAGAAAAGTTCGTGCGGGGTTTGGGACTACGAGTTTGATGATGATGAGATTGAGAATGGAACAGAGGTTGAATCGGTGGAGATTGGAGATTGTGGTGATTGGTGGGAGATAGATAATGATGATGATAGTGTTGGATCTTCGAGACCTTGTCGATAAACATCATAGCATTGTCGGGATTGCTTGCGCAAACTAGAAGCTAAGGGAAGTTTCAAGAGGCTATTAACATGGTATAGAGGTCCATAAACTCCTGGAGAACAATCTTTGTGAATCTATTGGCATATTACACGAATGGCAGCGAAAAAGAAGGCTTGAGAGTTGAGGATGTAGAAAAGGCCGTTGCAAAAGAAGACGCAATCTTTAGTAGACGTGAAGAGATTGAAAAAGTCTGCAATATAGTAAGCTTTTTCTCAGTTACTTTCTCCTGCAGAATCTTCTTTAATTGTTTCTTGTTCTCTGAGATTCTGCAATTTTGATTTGCTTTTTCAAACCATTATGAATATATGGTGAATCAATGTTTAGAGCTAAAGAACAAGATACATTATAAAGATAGATTTGGATTCACAAGAAACAAAATAGATTGAGTTACTAGAGAGTATATGCATCAAAGTCCAAAGCTAATTTATTATTCCAACATGATCGAAAAGACAATTTGAGTTTCCACAATAAAAAACACTCTAATGAAGCTGTACATTGCTCAAAATCTACTAACAAATAAATGAAGCAAAATCTAGCAACACAGAAACAATGTAGTTTATGTAAATAGCCTTATGTTTGAGATAACCAAGTGTTTGTTCATTACCAGTGGAGCCATTCTTCCTCGCAATGCAAGTACTCGGGGTTCAAGCTTAAAAGCCGAGTAGATAGACCAAACACCGAGCTCAAGACTGGAAAACAGAGACCATAACTAGAACAGAGAGAGAGCTCACCAGGAACTCTTCTTCTTGTAAAAACCCATGTACCATTTCACAAACTTTTTAAGACCAGCCTCAAGATCAACCGCGGGTTTATAACCGATCTCTGCTTGCGCTAACGTAATGTTGGCATGAGTGAACTCGACATCCCCGTTCCTCGGTAAAGGCATGATCTTTCTCTTAGCTTTCATCTTCAAAAGCTTCTCTAGAATAGTCACAAGCTTAGTTACAGGAACAGGTGAAGTATTCCCCAAATTATAGATTCTAAACATTGCAGGACCTTTCTTCTTCCCACCACTACCAGTACTCTTCCCAGCAGTATCTAAAGCACCTAAACAGCCTTTCACAATATCATCAATGTAAGTGAAATCCCTAGCAACACTACCTTTATCAGGAGATTCAAACACTGTAATGGTTTTCCCTTTGAGAATATCTTTAGTAAAGAAGAAATACGCCATGTCTGGTCTACCCCAAGGTCCATAAACAGTGAAGAATCTAAGACCCGTAAGAGATAAACCATAGATATGGTTATAAGTATGTGCAATTCCTTCACCTGCTTTCTTCGTAGCTGCGTATAAGCTCGCTGGTTGATCCGTACGATCTTTCTCCGAGAAGGGTACTTTCGAATTCAAGCCGTAAACAGAGCTAGACGAAGCCCAGACAATCGCAGGTTGTGGATTCGCCGATTTCGATACTTCTAATAGATTCACAAACCCAGCAATGTTACTGTTCACATAAGATCCTGGGTTTTGCATTGCGTAACGAACACCGGCTTGAGCAGCGAGATGCATCACGTGTGTGAAGAGGACGACATCGAAGAGCTTCTTGAGCAAAACGGCGTCGTTTATGTCGCCTTCGACGACGAAGACTCCTGATCTCTCTAAAAGCCCTTGTCTCGCTCGTTTCAGCTTCGGATCGTAGTAACGATTGAAATTGTCGAGACCTAAAACCCCATCGCCGCGTCTCCGTAACGCAATCGAGACGTGAGTACCGACGAATCCGGCTGCTCCGGTGACTAGTACCGTTAAACCACCGTGAGTCGTCCTAGGACGAGCCGATTTCCGGACTTGTTTTTCCCAGTGAGAACCGCCGTATTTAGCGGCGGAAGCGGAGGAATCGTTGAGATTCCGGC